GTATTTTTCTGCTTCTGTTGAGATGAAGATATGGTTTTTATCCTTTGTCAATGTGTTGTATCACATTCATTTATTTGCATATGTTGAACCATCCTTGCATCCTTAGAATAAATCCCACTTGATCATGGTGTATGATTCCTTTAATGTATTGTTGAATTTGGTGTGCTGATATTTCATTGCGGGCTTTTGCATCCATGTTTCTCTGGGATTTTGGCCTGTAATTTTCTTTCCTTGTGGTGTTCTTGTCTGGTTTTGGTATCAGGGTGATGCTGACCTCGTAAATTGAGTTTGGAAATGTTCCCTCCTCCTCTATTTTTTTGGAAGAGTTTGAGAAGGATTGGTATAAATTCTTCATTAAATGTTTGGTAGAATTCACCAGTGAAGCCATCTGGTCCTGGACTTTTGTTTGTTGGAGGTTTTTGATTACTGATTCAATCTCATTACTAGTATTCGAAATGTTCATATTTTCCATTTCTTCATGAAATAGAGAAAGACAAATAGCATATGATCTCACTCACTGTGGGATCTGAAAAAAGAAACAAACAAAAGCCAAACTCATAGATACAGAGAACAGATTGTTGGTTTCCAGAGATGGGAGGTGAAGGGTGGGCAAAATGGGTGAAAGTGGTCAAAAGTTACAAAAAAAAAAAAAAAAAAAAAAAAACTACAGAAAGTTTTCATATGCCTAGTTTCCCCTGTTGTTAACTTGTCTTATATTAGTGTGGTACATTTGTTATAATTAATGTACCAGTGTTGCTATATCACTATTAACTAAAGTCCATAGTTATTCAGTTTTCCTCAGTTTACTTAATTTGTGTTCAGGATCCCATCCAGTATGCTACATTACATTTAGTCATCATGTCCCCTTAGGCTTCTCTTGGCTGTGACAGTTTCTCAGACCTTCCTTGTTTTTGATGACTTTGACAGTTTGAAAACTTGTGGTAAAACATAAAATTTACTAGCTTAACCATCTTGGGGGGCAAGTAATTTTTTTTTGACTATTTTTGTTTGTTTTTTTAAGATGACTTATTTTTTATTTTATTTTTTTAATGGAGGTACTGGGCTTTGAACCCAGGACGTCGTGCATGCTAACCATATGCTGTAACACTGAGCTATGCCCACCCCCCAAGTATTTTTAATTTTGGTAAGAAAAATACATAAAACCTACCATCTTAACCACTTTTAAGTGTACAGTCAATAAAACTAAGTACATTCACAGAGTTGTGAAACAGATCTCCAGAACGTTTTCATCTTGCAAAACTGAACCTCTACCCTCATGAAGCAACAACTCCTTTTTCTCCCCCTCTCCTCCCTCCAGCCCCTGGTAACCACCATTCTACTTTCCATTTCTATGAATTTGACTACTTTAGATACCTCACGTAAGTGGAGTCATAGGGTATTTGTCTTTTTGTGACTGGCTTATTTCACTTAGCATAATGTCCTCACGGTTCACCTATGTTGTAGGCTGTGTCAGAATTTTCTTCCTTTTCAAGGCTGAATAATACTCCATTGTAAGTATACACCACATTTTGTTTATCTATTCATCCACTGACAGATACTTGGGTTGCTTCCACCTTTTGGTTATTCTGAAAATAAGTGTACAAATATCCCTTAAAGACCCTGCTTTCAATTCTTTTGGATATATACTCAAAAGTGCAACTGTTGCATTGTATGGTAATTGAGGAACTGATGTACTGTTTTCCACAGCAGCTGTACCAACTTACATTCCCACCAACAGGGTTCCAATTCTTCCAAATCCTGTCAACACTTGAGATTTCCTGCCTTTTTTTTTTTTGGATAATAGCCACCCTACTGGGTGTAAGATGGTATCTTATTGTGGTTTTGATTTACATTTCCCTGATGATTAGTAATGCAAGCATCTTTTCACGGACTTTTTGGTCACTGGCATGTTGTCCTAGGAGACATGTCTATTCTTACCCCTCTTCCACACTGTACTCTTTGAGAGGAAGTTATTATGTACAGCCTTATTATGTATAGTGTTTCTCTACACTAAATGCATCTTTATAAATAGTCCCTTTATTAAACTCTCCTCAAATCACCTGCTGAGACCTGGGCTACATTTTAGACAGATAACATGCTATTTATTAAAAATAAAACTTTTTATTGTGCAAAATTTCCAACATACACCAAGTAAAGAGAATAATGTACCCAACTCCCAGTTTCAATAACTATCAACATCCTGCCCTTCTTGTTTCATCTATACCTCTATCCACTTCCCACTCTTATTTGATTCCTTACTCTTTTCTTACATCACTCTTTTCTTCTGTCCCCATGTCTTTTTGCAGGTAAAAGTCACACATATTAAAATATGCAAATCTTAGGCTACACAGTTTTAACAAGTAGGTTCAGCTTTGCAACTCACACCCCTGGCACAATATGGAGCGTGTCCATCCCCTGCTCCCGTCCTCCATCCACTCTTACCCAGGACCCTCCACCCCTCTATCCAGAGGCAACCGCTGTCCTGGTTTTCTTCTCCTTAAGTTAGTTTTGCCTGTTGTAAATCTTCATGGAAAGGGACTCATGCAGCTTGCACTCTTTTTCTGTCTGGCTTCTTTCACTGAGCGCAGTGTCTCTGAAGTTCACCCATGTTGCGTGTGTAAGGATAGCATTCTTCCCTAGTGCTGAGCAGTATTCCATTGAATGCATATGCTGCAACTTGTTTCTCTGTTCTTCTGTTGATGGGCATTTGGATTGTTTTACCAGTTTGGGCTATTGTGAATAAAGCTACTGTGAACATTCTTATACAAGTCATTTTGTAGGTTTATGCTCTCATTTCTCCTGGATAAATACATTCTTGTACATTTCTGTACCCACTAATGCTTATGACCTAGTTGGTACTCAAAACAAAAGTGTGGTAAAATGAACTGGCTCGTGGAACTAAGAGCTATGAGGTGGTGATCATGTTTCATACAATAAAGTGCATTTCATATCGTAAAGTTTCAAAGTTGAGCATTAATGCCAACAGCAAAGGCTGAATAAGAAGAAAGGACATCAGAGGTAGAGACTTAGTGATTCAATGAAGAATTTTGAAAAAGAACAGGCTTTGAAAGACAGCCTAAACGTAGAGACAACCAGGAGACTCAAGGGACAGAGACTTCTCTCCAACATGCTGGCTGGACAGGGAGTCCTGGAGGGTGTCCCTGCTGGGGTCACAACTGAGGGCGCTCTGGGGGAGGCAGGCACAGCTAGAGCAAAATCACGATGCCCAGAGTTCATAAGTGAGATTTTTTCAAGATGTTCCGTATCTTGTTGAGGAGCATTTATTTTTCCCCTTTGTTTTTTCCCTCTCTAAATCCACTCTTGAATTGCCACACTGAGCAACTTTGTCCTGGCCAGGGATAGCCCAGCACAGGAGAGCGTCCAGCAATCTTCTCTCCCTGGCTCTGGAAGATGTTTGTGTGTAGTTGGGAAATCTGGGTTTCTGCCATTAACTAGCCATGTGTGCCTTTGTCTCCAGAGTTCCTTCCAGCTCTGAAAATACTACAACTTAGCAACTATATTCCTTTTTTCAATAAAATTTTTTTTCTTATTACCAAGGTATATGTATTTAGCATGGATAGTTAGAAAATATAAATAAGGGAACAGAAGAAAATATAAGATCACTCATCATTTCACCACCCAGTGCTAACTCATTAATATTCACTCATTCATTTAACACATATTTATTGTCTGCCAGGTACCGAGCAGTTTGAAATACACCTTTCTAGGCTATTTATATTTTAATGAAGTCAGCCTGCTTTGTAACCTGCCTTTCACTTAATAAACAGTTGTGAACACATTCCCACATCAGTAAATATTTTCCTGCAACATTCCGGGTTTTCACGTCAATAAATACTCTCAGAGCTAGATTTTTTGAGCAAATTCATAACCATTACTTTAGGATAATTCTTAGAAGTAGAATTCCTAGGTTAATTAGTAATCACACTTACGAGGCTTCTGGCTGGCAATGCCCAAATAGCCTGTCTCCCCCACCTCTCTTTATATCTTTTCATGCGTATGTAGACATTGAAAAGAGTCTAGAATTACCCTGCCTATTATAGCAGGCACTAGACACATGTGGCTGTGTGCTTTAAGTTAAAATTAATTTAAAAAAATAAACAACTCAGATCCTCAGTTGCACTTGCCACATTTCAAGCATTCAGAGGCCTCTGTAGCCAGTGGTTACTCTAGTGGCACAGAAAACACTTCCATTATTGCACAATGTTCTACTAGACATCCTTGGTCCAGATATGATGTTCAAGTGATGTTAATTATTTTTATTTTGAGGTAGAGAGATTTGGAGTGACTTTCTTCTTTTATTGCTTTACTTGGCTTCTTTATAAATGAGCATTTATTAATTATTGTCTTACATATATTGTGTTTAAAAGTTTTCCCCCCTTTGGAGAGGTGTACCTCATGCCCACTAGCCCCCTGTAGAGATGTTTGATTACAGGAAATCTTCAGGGCCCTTATGTCTAGTCATTGGGTTTGAATTCTAATTTCCTTTCTAGAGGATAGAGTTCAAAAAAATTTGTATTATATGTGGAATCTAAAAAAAAAAAGATAAACAAACTTATTTACAAAACAGAAACAGACTTACAGACATAGAAAACAAACTTATGGTTACCAGGGGGGAAATGGGGTGGGAAAGGATAAATTGGGAGATTGAGACTTGCAGATACTAACTACTATATATAAAATAGATAAACAACAAGTTCATACTGTATAGCACAGGGAACTATATTCAATATCTTGTAGTAACTTATGGTAAAAAAGAATATGAAAACGAATATATGTATGTTCATGTGTGACTGAAGCATTATGCTGTACACCAGAAACTGACACAAAATTGTAAACTGACTACACTTCAATAAAAATATGTATATATACAAAGACCAAAAAAAGTTATATTAAGAATCTTTACTCAAATTTACTTACATATGCGTATGTAATTCTGGAAGGACACATAAAAAATTAGGAATGTTACTTACCTATGGCATGGGGAATGGGTGTCTTTGCAGATGAGGACAAGAAGGGGAGGGAGATTTTCCATGTGAATGTTTCACCTATTTAGAAATAGATTAAAAATAAACTTGAATATATCTCTTTTTAAATTATACAAACAGCATACAATTGTTAAAAGAAATGAATACTAGACAGTGAAATTCCTTTCCTTGAAGGTAATTTTTGTCAGGTTAGTTAGAATCCTTCCAGACTTGGGTCCGTTGTGAAGCATAGCACACAGTATCTCTGTTATATAAACAGGATTGTGGGCACATATGCTCTGCAGCTCGCTTAACACATCTCGAGAATTCATCTTGTCAGGGGCATTCATCCTTCAGACATCACCAGAATCCTACTTCCCTTCCTGTTGATGACAGCTGGAAGAAGAGGGCTTCTAAAGTTCCAGGACTTTCTTCTCTCATGTCCAGGTGGCCCCAATAACACCTACATGGCTTTTGAAAGCCCCTGGGTCAGACCTGTTTCCAGATGACCGCAGAGCTGGCACCAGTCGGTCTAGTCGGTCCCATCCTCACTCACACTGCAGAGTCATTCCTTTACCTCTCACCCTCTCCCTTCCTCGGCTTTCTCCTTGTCCATCCCTTTCCGGGGCAGTGAGGGTGAAGTAAGTAAGAAGCATTTCCAGAGTACTAGGTGGAGCCTTGGGGCAGAAAAGAGGCAGGGACATGGGGCACAAGCCACTCCCAGGTCCCTCTGGTCTTCTCCTGACAGCCAGTAACAGCCCCCCAACTACTTTTCTTGTCCAAACCCAGTTCCAAAATCTCTTCCAGCCCCCACCTTGCTGGACATATTCCCCAACTTTCCTTGCATCCTTTTTGCATTTCTGTGACAGGTTTCCCTTGGTGAGTCCATTCCCCACTCCTTCACTGGGGCACCATTGTCCATACCTCCCACAGGAGGGGAGGGAGGGAGTGATGGGGCATTTCCAGAGGACTGGATGGGCCTGAGGTGGGTATAGAAAGAAGTGGAGACATAGGGTATCAGTCACCTACACGTGTCACTGATGCTCTTGGAATTCACCACCCAAAACCTGGATCAAAGAGAGAAATCTCAGTTCTAGGGGGCGAGTGTGCCCCCATCCCCAAGAGGCCCAGGAACTGGCCTCACTTCAAAGACTGTGATGCTGTCCTACCAGCAGTGCACCAAGTTTCCAAGTTCTCCACATCCTCACCAACACTTGCTATTTTCTGGAGTCTTTCTATAGTAGTCATCTAAATGGGTATGAAAGGGTCCTCTCCTTTTAAAGGGTCAAGTAAGTTATTTCTCAGTCAGACTCAGGTCTTTCAGACACAAATCCCTGCTTCTGTCTGCATTTGTAGTCTCTGTCACTCTTCACTCTCTTTGGAAAAGGGAAAGAGGCGCCTGCCTGCTGGGAGCTAGATCTGGGCCTTTTTGGAGTCTGTTAGAGGCTACAGAAAGATCACTTATTAAAGACCCATCTGCTCCTTCCAAAGTAAAGGAGAGCCATTTCATCTTGTGGGAATGAACCTACAGAGATCCTCTCACACACGCACAAGGACACATTTACAAGGATATTCATGGCACACTGTAGTAATGAAACTCTGCAGACTAATTATATGCTCACCAACAGGTAAATTATAAATAAATATAAATGTGTGCAGGAACAGCTAAATTAACTGTTGTATACTAAAACACTGGAACACCATACAGTAAAATTGTAGCTAAAGTGAATGAACCATAACTACATTACTATCCTGGAGAGTTCTCTAAAGTATGATATTGAGGGCAAAATAATAAATCACAATTTGTGTACAATATGACACCAGACAGCTTGAGGTTGAATCATGGTTCTGTACTTTCTAGCCGTATAAACTTAAGAGAGAATGTACTTCTGTGCCTCAGTTTTCTCATCTATAAAGTGAGAATAATAGCAGGACTTAATACTGGCTTGTGGAACAAAATGGATTTAATGCATGTAAAGCCTTTAAAACAATGCTTAGCACACATAAACACTCAATAAATAGTAGCTACTAGTATTATTTATGGATTTATATCTGTAATAAAATACAGGAAAAAAAAAAAAAAACTGTGATCCTGGCCCCACAGCAAATCCATAGAGATAGGAAGTAGATGAATGGTTACCAAGGGCAAGGGCTGGGGGGGAGGGGAAGTAACTGTTACTTTTTGGAGTAACAAAAATGTTCTGGCTAGGGATGACGGTTGCTCTGTGAAGATACTAAAAATTATCGAATCGTACACTTTAAAAGGGTGAATTTTATGGAATGGGAATTGTGTCTCAATAAGAAAGTAATTTAGAAGGTTGCAAATCTATGAAGATGTAATTTACATGCAATCAAATGCACCCATTTTACTGTAAGGTCAATAATTTTTGACAAAAACACCCATGCCACTACCACCCTAGTCAAAATACAAAACATGTTCATCACCCCAAAAAGCTCCCCCCAGCCTCTTCAGCACTTTTTCCAACACAACTGAATAGAGTAGAAACTATCAGAGTTCATCAACCGTAGTAAGGGTATTATTTCATAAAATTTACATTCTAGTTATATTTCAATATGCACACACATTATAGGGTTGTGATGTGAGTCACCTTCAAAAAAAATTGAGAGTTCCTATTGAAACGTGTACCATGGAGCGGGGAGGTGGTATTTACAGAAATGTTATGTACTCGCTCTGAGGGCTGCTGTGTGCTGGGCTCTCTGCTAAGTACTTACACGCATAATCCCGTTTAATCCTTACAGCCACCCTCTACGATGTGCCCCAACACCTCATTCTGCAGATGAGGAAGCCAAGGCTTCACTATCTTTGCTGGAAACTAGATCAAAACATACTGATCTCAACGCCTCTTGTTTCCTCTTTATGGGCTTTTAACTCCAGCTGAAGTGTCAAATCCTGGAGGGCGAATACAGTATCTGTCAACCTCGGTTAATTCGTTTAAGCACAGCAAAAACAATAATAATCAGAGAGAAAAAAATAAGAAGACAGAATCCTCCCTTCATCGGGGTTGCAGTCTAGTCGTAGGTGTGCCCATCCACCAGATAGCTTAAAGCACCAGGCAGAGGAGCAAGTGTCAGGCTTCTCTTTGTGACCCTGGCTGTAACTCTGGGTGTGATGGGCTGGCAATGTGGCCCCAGCCTTTCTCTGAGATAGTCCTGGGTAGCCGGGCCAGGCGGACCCTGCAAGACCCACTCCCTTCTGAGTTGTTCTGGAAGGCCTGAGACCTGAAGGAATCCTGGTGACACACAGAGTCCTGAGGCTGCTAGGGTCCTGAACAAGGGGTCTTACTGGAAACACTGAAGCCCTCCTACCAAGCAAGTGGCCACAGAGCAGCAGGGGCAGGATTTACAGCACAGAATTTCTTTGTCATTAGGGTATTTGTCTCTGACTTGAGCCTCCAGGATGCACTGGTAGCCACCATCCATCTCTCATTTCAAGAGTCAAGAGAGAGGGCGTAGGTTCTGCTTTGCAGTTAGCCTTAATTGATTTCACCCTGACTGATTTATTGCTAGTTAATGAGCCTGTTTATCTCAAGACTGAAACTCTTTCTTTCTCCATTAGATTTTCTGGTATCATTACATCTTCAAACCACAAGGGAAAGCCTTAAGATGCTATGCTTAAACATCAATGCACTCAGCACACCCCAGGGTCTGGAAAAGTTAGTGGACCCCCAACAGTGATCAGTTTTCATCCAAGGAGTAGTTAAAACTCCAGGAGCCTTGAGGTCAATTAAGCCGCCCAATGTGCTCCCCTGGGATGATGTGGAAAGAATTGGAATCAGACAGACCTGGGTTTGGATCCCAGCTCTGTCACTTGCTAGCTATATGACCTTGGGCAATTTACCTAACCTCTCTGAACTTCTGTTTCCTTATCTAAAAAAAAAAATGGTTAATACCATGAACTTTGTAGTTATTGTGGGATTAGATGAGATCAAGGTATGTAGTCGGTGCTTAATACATACCAGCTCTCCTCCCCACCTCCTGCCTGCCAAGGAGATTAACATTCTGCGGAGGCAAGAACAGCCAAGCAACTTTCTGTAAAGGAGGATTTGAAACTTTGTTCATGTTTTTCCTAGAGGGGTACGGTCTTGGACTGGCAAGAGCACCATAACTTTGGTCCTTCCACGCCATAAAGGAAGCTTCCCACGGGGTCTTAACCGCCATGCATTATCATATATTATGTGCTATGAACCAAGTATGTTCACTGGAAAACAGTTCTCATCCTGCCATCTGTACCGCCACCAAGAGGTCCGAGCCACCATCGTCCACTCACCTGAACCACACTCGTCAGCCTTGCACCAACCCCGCTTCTCCTCTTGTTCTCCAAGAATACACTTCTCTCCACTGAGGCCAGTCCTAAAAAGGCAAATCCCATCACATCAGCTGCCTGCTCTACATCCTCCACTGTCTTTCCTGCAAAGCCCAATGTGGTCCCTCCCCTGCCTACCTCTCTCATCCTATCCCTGAACTCCCCTCTCCCTGATGCTACAAGAGCCGCACCTGTTTTCCTTTTCCTCAAGCAGCCCAATTTGCATTAGCTTCAGGGCCTTTGCAGCAGCTGTTCCCTTCACCTGAGGCTCTCCTTGTCCAATAATCCTTTTCAACATTCAGATGCTTCCTTTCAATATTCAGATTTCAGCTCCAACGCACCTTCTCAGAGCTATCTTCTGTGATTGTGTCCCGTTGCCATCATATCTTTGCCTCACCCTATTTCATTTTCATCCTCACGCTTGTCACCACCTAAAATTCTCTGGTACCTTGTCTGTCTTACTCATTGTCTTGTCTGCCTAGAACATTGCCCGGCACAGGGCAGGGACGCAATACATGTCTGCTAAATAAATGAACCCCTTTGTCCTGACATCTTAGCATAAATCAATGATCTTCAGGATGGTCTCTCTTCATATTAGAGCTTCTAGTCTGTAAGTGTCTAGACAGTCCTTTTATTTTTGGCATTTTTGGCAAAGTGGCTTGCTTCTGGAATTTAACAAAACCAGACAACGCCTGTCTCATCCAAAGCTGTGCCATCTCTTCTAGAATCTGCTGAGACTCTCGCTGCCCAGCTCCTCCATAATAGCGAGGCATGGATGAGACAGAGGTTTTACAAATCCCACTGGAATATTCTGCTGCCTGAAAAATTGGAGCACCACTGGACTGGAGCCTTCAAACTGGAGGCAGCCCAAATCTAGCCAGAGCCCCTGCTCCTCAGTGGGCTGGACACATGGGATTAATTCAGGCAGGAGCCAGGCAAGAAATGCTGGCCCTGGAGAAGGACTAAAGAAAGGGAATTTTAAGATCCAGACTGAAAAGAAAGCTGGGGGTTGGGGGTGTGGGGGGCAGGGTAGGAATGACTCACCCTCCTTAACCCAGGGGGTGTTAACCTGCTAGTATTGATATTATAAGTTAAATTGAGAGTATTTGTGTGCATGTGTGTGTATGTACATTTTAGGGAGAGGGTCCATAGTTCTTATCAGCGTTGCAATGGGATCTATGCCCTAAAAGGTTAAGAACCATGGATCTGGAAGGCATGCAATCGGGTTAGCGAATCATCTCCATCCTAAACATGACCTGAACTGAAACAGTCACGAGAAAGGAAAAGTGCTTTGGGCTCCAAGGAAAACAAAAGCTATTTCCAACAGGAATTGGCTGTCACATTCTCTGCACTTGGAAAAAAAAAGTCAACAGAGCATCCGCCCAGCCTGCCCGAGGCCCATCCCTTAAGCCCAGGTCTCTAGGGAAGTCTTCGGGCCTTTGTTTTCCAGTCTGTGGGCAACTGGCTGGGCAGAGAGCCAGAGTGGGGAGACCTTTATGGAAGAAAATACAGGGATGCACGGGGTTGGACAGGCTAGAAGCACCCGAGGGTGGGTGAACCATCAGGTGAGGAAGAATGTGCTGGTTGAGACTCACTGTTCTCTCCTGAGTCCCTGATTTGACTCCAGCCAGGATGTTGGGCCTGCTTTTCCCTCTGGGTGCTGTGGGCACCACGGGCTTCATCACAGCGTGGGTGCCTTTCTAAGTCGATTTTGAACCCTTCAGGGTTAGCAAGCCCCTTTTTCTCCCTGTGGCCACCTCAGCTGTGAGATTGGAGCTCCTGCCTATTTAAGGCTAAGTGTCACATTTGCTGTTCAGAAAGGACACTCCCTTCCCCTGGCCCTTACCTTGGTAAGGGGAGGAACTGGGACGTGGCAGAAAGCCCAATAAATGCTGGAAGGGGCCCCACGAGCAGGCGGGCAGGCCTGCAGCCAGAGTGCTGTGCCAGCACTTGCTGTCACCTCGAGGGAGGGTGCAGTCCACACATGTTCTGGCTTCCAAGAGGCAGGTCCTGGGTGTCAGCCCGCAGCCATTGCCTCTCTGGGAGCCCCATGGAGGCTCACTCGACCTTGAGCTGTGATTTTTCCATGTTTGTATGTGTTCTATATTTCCTGTATCCTGGGGGGTTTTCTTGGTTTCCTCCCCCAAATCTGATTCTCCTCCAAGCTTCCCCATCTCAGTCTAGGGTAACTTCATCACCTGGGAGCTCATCCTTCAGGTCCCAGCTAAACAGCACCTCCTCCTTGGAAAGACCTTCCCTGGCACCAAATCTCAAGTTCTCCTCAGCCACCCACACCCCAAGACGCTGTCTCTCGTATCAGCCTGTTTATCACATTCTGTAGTTGTCTTTCTTTTCTCTGTGTCTCCCCACTCAAAACACAAAGTCTGCGAGGACAGGGACTCCTAGATAGTCTCCATTTGCTCCTCCAGGGTCGCTGTCCAGCCCTCTCCCATCTCCTCTAGGCCTCGGGAGGCTGACTGATGGGGACTCTGTGGTCTGAGCTCCCACACCCCCAGGAAGGAAAGTGGATGGGGAGGGTAGGGGTCCCTCCCTGCCACAGCTCCCAGGCAGCAGCCTTTACCCACAGCTCTTGCTGGTTCCAGTAACCATCCTCTCCTTGTCTTCCCAGGCCCGGGTGGAAACGGTTGCCATATGTTGTCAACCCAAAGTGCCTCGCCGTCCCTTCACCAGGGGCCTCTTAACCTGCCCGCACTCCTGCAGACAGTGCCTTCATTAAGCTCCTCAGTGACCCCTCTTGAATGCGCCATTGGTTACCTGACAGTGGTTCTGACCAATACAAGGGCCACGTCTAATTCACTGACCACTGTTTCCCCAACAACATGCTAAGGAATGCTTCGCATGTCTTAGAGATTTAACACGTGTGTTTTGAATAAATTAATGAATGATAAGGATACCGTGTTTTTATTTACATTTTTATTATGATATAATTCACACACTGTGAAATTTGCCCATCTAATTTGCCCATGTAATTCAGTGGTTTCCAGTATATTCATGAACTTGGGAGACCATCTCCACTACCTAATTCCAGAATATTTTCTCACTTCAAAAGCGAACCCTCTACACACTATAGTCACCCCCTACCTCCCCTTCCTCCAGCCCCTGGCAACCACTAATCTACTTTCTGTCTTTATGAATTTGCCTATTCTGGACATTTCACATAGGCAGAATGATATGTGATTTTCTGTGTTTGGCTTCTTTCATTTAGTATAATGTTGTAGCATATATCAGTGTTTCATTCCTTTTTATGCTGAATAATATTCCTCTGTAGGTATATATCACATAATTGTCCATTCATCAGTCGGTGGGCATTTACGCTGTTTCCACCTTTTTGCTATTATGAATCATGCTGCCGTGAATATTCATGTACAAGTCTTTGTGGGAACATATGTTTTCAGTTCTCTTGGGTAGATACACCTAAGAGTGGAGTTGCTGGATCACATGGTAATTCTAAGTGTCCCTTTTTGAGGAAGGATACTATGTTTTAAATCTGTGTGTCCCATAGCACTACACAGTACTTTATCCTGTGGCCCCAGGCATTGGCATCTGCACAAAAAAAAGAACCCAAACTGACAAAGATAGGGAGCAAAGGAAGTCTCAAACACTGCAGGTCTACTAGTTATACACCCAAAAGACATTCTAGCACACATGCAGCAGGATATATAAACAAGGATGCACACAGTAATATTGTTGGCCCCAAACTGGAAATAGCCTAATGTCCATTAACAGTAGCTTGGATAAGTACATTATGGACTATACATCAAAGAAAATAAATGAACCACAGCAGGGAGGGTATAGCTCAGTGGCAGAGTGCATGCTTGGCATGCATGAGGTCCTAGGTTCAATCCCCAGTACCTTCATTAAATTTTTTTTAATTAAGAAAAATAGGTGAACCTAATTACCCCCCAAAAAATAAATAGATAGATAAACCTAATTAACTCCACCCCTCCTCCAAAAATAAAACCCAAAACAAAGAAAATAAATGAACTACAGCTACACATAACAGCATGGATGAGCCTCACAAACATAGTGTGGAAAGAAACAAGTCACAAGAGAATACGTATAGTATCAATTCATTTATATAAAGTTCCAAAACAAGTAAAATGAAACCATGTGGTTTAGGGATTCAAATGTAGGCAGAAAAACTATTAAAAATTATTTCAACAACAAAAAACAGGATATCGGTTACCTCTGGCAGAGAGAGAGGGAGACGTGTCAGGGAGGGACGCAGGAAGGTCTTCTGAGTGGCAGCCAGTTTTCTAGTTCTTTTCCTGGGTGATGGATACACCAGGGTTCATTTGAAATTATTTTTAGCCGTACAGAGGTACTTACTTACTCATGCACAGTTCAAAGAATAAACAGAACAGAACCCAGGTCTCAATGTCAGGAGGCCTGGATTCCAGATCAGGTTTACCACTCCAGGGCTGTGTGACATAAGACAAATTATTTAATCTCTCTGCCTTGATTTTCTTACCTTGAAAATGGGAATAATAATAATAACTGCCACTTATTTAGGGCTTACTATTCCTAGGTACCATGCTAAGTGCTTTTCCATATTTCACCAGTAGTCATGATGTGTCCCTTGAGCATAAGAAACACATAACTGAAGCTGGCTTAGGCAAATGTTTAACATGGACACAGAAATGGCCTACTGAACTGAAGGGGAGGGCGTGGCCAGGGAACACACTCCGAGGACTGTCTCTTATTGCTGTGCTTCTCTCTGTAACTGTTGCATTCTTCTCTTTTGTTATAAACTGGCTGTCCCTGCATCCCATTCACATGTGAGAAAATGACCACCCACAGCTCCCAGGATTGTATCTTCTCCATTCACGATACCAGCCAAACTAAGCCTGGAACCTCTCAGTACAAATTACCAAGTTCCTTGGGAAAAGAGTTCTTACCACTCTAGCTTGGATCCAGTGTCCACCCCTGATCCAATCAACTGTGGCAAAGGGGGCAGAGTCACACCAAGCAAAACACTGGCCAGGGACAAACATCATGAAACTAAGTGGGGACTACAGGTGGCTGGCAGTCAGCCCATGGAAATTTAATTCTGTAGAGCTGTAGAGTCCTAAGAGGGCAGCGCCCAGAATGGCAGGGAGAGTGGAAGGACAGACAACCCAGTATCAACTATTACTTAATCTACTCTTTATAACAATGCAATGAGGGGATGTCAATATCCCATTACACAGACAAAGAGACTAAGAATCAGATAGGACCCAGGGTCTCTCAACAGCAGCACTACTGACACTTGGGGCTGAACAATTCTTTGCAGTCGGGAGCTGTCCTGTGCACTGTAGGATGTTTAGCAGCACCCCTGGCCTCCACCCACTAAATGCTAATGGCACTCCTCCAGTTGTGACAATCAAACACGTCTCCATGTGTTGCCAAATGTTCCCCGGAGGTGAGAAGCACCACACAGGCTGAATTTCACACCACCACTCCACTGATAGGACAGAGACAGGATTCAGACGCAGGTCTGTCTGACTCTAAAGCTCATTCTCTTAGTCACTTTCTCTCTTATGACCATATCTAACTCACCCACCTCACAAGGTTGTGGCGAGGATATACCGAATGTGAAAGCACCCTGAAGTTAGGTGTTAGGTAGATAAATTATTATGCCTCCACATTCTTATGAGCTTCCAGTTCTGGGAATCAATGCGGCTCCTCAGTCAAGACAGGGCTCTACAGCGCGAAGGAATTTGAACTCCTTGGCCCTGACCACCAACCAACCACTTTCCTCATTTAGTTTCATGACGTGATTGCACTCCATATCCTCTCCCTCATGAAGACCAACAGTCCCAAGGCCTTGCTACCCCATGTCCAATTCCACTCTCCAACCTATGATTTATGGTAACTTTCCTTAGCTGGTTTTCCTCTATTGGAGCCAAGTCTTTTTCCAGATACTTTGGTCCCCAAAGCCCATATATTCTTCCACAAACAACTAACTAAATATGTTACATCTCTTCCTCTGTGAACTAGAGGTCTCAATAACCTGGGCTGTGTGAGTGCCTTCTCCAAACTCACTGGTTTCCTGGGAGTGGACCCTTTCATAATTCAAATGCCTCTCTGAGACCATTACCTGACAAAGCCCTACATGGACGGATGCCAACTTGTTAGTTCTTATTCTGGTTTTAATATTTATTGTGACTGTATTCTAAAAAGGATGAAGTCCTACATCTGCAAGGCGTTGAGGCCTTCTGATCCAAACACTAAGGGAAAACATTCTGGCTGAGGTTAGAGAAGGTTGACCGCACACTAGTGACGGGAGGTCTTTACAATGAGCTTCTGGAAATTTATCAGAGAGAGCATTTCGCTATAGCTTAGTTTGGCTACCTAATAAAATGACCACGGTATGTCATTCATACTCTTCCAGTCAAGATACAAACAGTTTGTTTGGAGGACTGGTTACAAAATAATTTTTTTTAACTGACGTATAACTCACGTGCAGAAAAGTACACAAGTCATAAGTCTACAGCTCAATGACTTTATCCCAAAGTAAACACACCCATATAACCACCACCCAGATCAAGAAATTACCAACATTCCAGAAGCCCCTCTCAGGCCCCCTCCCAGTCAATATCTCCACCCTCTCCCTAAATGTAACCACTCACGTTAATCTTATGACCTCCATATTTTTTATGTATCTGATGGCCCAGATAATTATCTGTGGAGGCCAGAGTCAAGCAGAAGCTGGAAGGATTGTTTCCCCATGAGTCATTCCTCTTAAGAGAAGTTTATCAGTGAGGATGCTTCTAGTCGCAAGTAATAGAAACCCCAGCTCAAATGGCTTAAACAGTAAGAAAATTTATGATCTGCACATACGTGGAAGTCTTGCTGTAGGACCTGCTTCGGGGTTCCCTGCATCTGTGGCTGGAGTCAACAAGGCCTCACGATCTTTCATTCTCCACTCAGCCGTCTTGGTGTCTGTGTCATTCTCAGGCTGGTAGCAGGGCAGCCATGGCAGTTACTTCTGGGGCTTTCTCTTTGGAGAGGAAACTTCTTCCAGAGGTTTCATCCCACTGGTGACAATTGGGTCGCCTGTGTAACCATGTGGGAAACAATTGCCCCAACTGTCTTAGACTGATCATCTGGGGTGGGATGGATGTTGAGAAGTTCACCCCAATGCTCCCTACACAAAGCCATGTCATGAACATGGAAAATGTCTGGTTCTGCTCATTTATAAATAAGCTTTAGTGGGGAGGGTATAGCTCAGTGGTAGAGTGCATGCCTAGCATGCATGAGGTCCTAGGTTCAATCCCCAGTACCTCCATTGAAGTAAATAAACCTAATTACCTCCCCCCACAAAAAAAATTTTTTTAAGTCTTCTTATAAACAAGCTTTATATTGATAAATGGTAACAAGAGTTATAAATGGGGGCGATTCATGGCTGAATGTACTGCTGGAAATTCAAAGTTAGAGGTAAGTAACTTTCTGGGAGGAAAGGATAAATTGAGCGTGGCAAAATAAACACAGCAGCCCTTGCCCTCTCTCTCCTCTGAATGTCAATGATCCTTCCTCTCTGAATCGCCTATTTGGGCACTGAGTCATGAACATATTTTTTTAAAGCTGTTGGGATGGTGCCTGTTACCAGTTATGTGAAGCACAGAACATAATGTTTCCGTATCCTCTTAGGACAAATCCAAGCCCATTACAAATCCCATGGTGGCAGGCAGGGCACAGAGAGCACGTCATCCAAAGCTACGAGGTGTGTGAGTCACGGCTCCTCAAAACACTCCAGTTCCTTCAGTTACCTTGATGATATCGCAGCCATTCAGCCCCTCTAGATGTTTGAACATTCTCCACATTAAAAATCCCAATTTTTAAGTAAATATGATAAGGATGAGAGTCATGTCTATATGTATATGCATTAATATTCGTTTGCTTACAGTAGTTGGGAAGGTGACAGGTTTACATCCCACTTATCAACGTGCTTGTCACGTATTATTCAAACCCTGGTGAACACCTGTTGGTGAAATCTCTTCTCCAAGAAGACCTGGGTAGGTAAGCTACACACATCAGTGGAAAACAATCAATAGTAACAATAGATACAAGAGGGATATTTTGACGTCAAGGGGTAAAATATCTATATCCATGGATGATAGGACAAGTAGCAGATAGGCTTCAAAGATAAGGTATTACATTGTATACATATATATATTTTACATACACAAGTGTATGTATGCTAAGAATTTTATATTTTATTAAGAAAATCTTCAAATAATCTCATAGTGGATAAATACACAACTGACACTATTCTGAGAACCAAGAAGAAAGGATGAATAGGAGGGTGATTCCAATTGAAGAGTGAAAAATCCAGCATAACCTTCAGAAAAATATTTGCCACAAAATAACATTCTTGAGGAAATTTTTTTCTCACAGATGTTTCTAATTGCTACTATACTTATAAGGCAATATTTATCAGCACAAATATTAAAATATTTAATATGTACAGTTATGAGAAAGTACATCGATATAACACACTTGATCTAAGCCCCTTCATGTTTCAGAAAATGTGTTCTTTTTTACCAAAGTAAAAATATAATCTCCGGTGATCATCAATCATTTTGGTTGTTTTTGATATCCAACAGCCATCCAATATCCCTTGGATGTTTGAATGTTCATTCTTGTTAGAATTCCAGTTCTTTCTCAAGAATGACATTTGCGGCAAATAAAAATTATTTTACTAATTCCTCTTATGTCAGCTGGGAATGTAACTTGTTTATAACCCAATATTACCCCAGTTTGCTTTTTGGTATAGGTTAGGCCTTTTTGAAGGAAGTTGAATACTTCACGATGCCAAGACCCAATGTAGTGAAGGGTCTTTTAATGGGGATACAATGTTATGTTATGAAGAAGCCTGTTAATTGGCTCGGTAAAGGTCAGATCAAGGTTAGACATTTTAAGAGGGATGCTCTTTTCTTCCATACCTGCAGAGGGCACATTTTCCACTTCACTAGTTCTCCAACCCTCCAATCCAATGTATGCTGAGCATGTACTCTGTATAATGCATTGTTCTAGGTGCAGTGAAGGAACACAAAGTGATGCCCAATAACTGCTCAATCTCTGCCCCCAAAGACACTCCAGTCTAGCTGGGAAGATGAACACAGGGACTAGTCTGGCGCCAAAGGCTGGAAAAGGCCAGGAGTGTGACAGGCCCTCAGAGAAGGGAATAGTGAACAATGGATTGGAGAAAGTGAGACTTGAGTTGGACTTTGCAGCCGGGGTCTGATTAGCCAGACTGATGTGAGAAATATGCTGCCTACCTACCCACTGCCATTCCATGCCTGCAGCATGCATTGCTAATGAACACCAGGGTGGCTCCACTTTTCACTGAGCCCAGACCAAACACAGTGCAGTAAGCAACCCAGACTGGTCAACTGAAATAAAAACTCAAGCCAAAACCCCTATTTGGCATTAGGGATGGCTGGGGGTGAGAGCTGGATATTATGGCCCATGGGAAAGAACTTTTGGAAAGGATAAGTTGGAAGCAGAAGGCAGTAGTGTCTGGCTGAGAGCAGACAGCCAGGTAATAAACTCTGACAGGTAGTACTGGGTCATATCATAGAAGATATTGAAAACTGGGAAGTTCCTGATGAAGATGTGTTTAAGAAATAATAGCTTGGAAGGAACATGCATAGCAAATATAGAAGATGACCAGTCATCCACTTTAAAAGAATCTCGTTTAGAAAAAGCCCAAAGTTCTGAACAGATTTAAGGATGGTAATTCTTCATTTTCATGAGCAAGAGATTTCTTAAGTATCCTGATAGATATTTTCTTTCAGAAGGCATTATTCTGCTGGGTTCTTGTTTACCACGCTGCTCTGGAACTTTTAGGATTGTGGTTCTCAACCCTTACCATGCATCAGACTCCCCTGAAACAGAGCTTCTGCTTTAATTGATCTGTGGCAGGGCTAGATATCCTTTTTTTTTTTTTTTTAAATATTCCAAGGCGATTTCAAGATGATCCAAAGTGTGGCCACGGTCAGTGGTTTTGGATTTTCTTCTTATCCCTTCTGTTCTGAAATTCTATAATGATATGCCTCAGTGTGCATTACTTTTCATTATTGTATTCAGCACCCCACAGTCCTTTCAACCTCAAAAATCAATTAGTTCTGGGATGTTTTCTTGTATTATTTCTGTGGCAGTTTCTTCCTTCTTCACTTCAAGGTCTCCTCTTAATTGAGATATGGTATTTCCTCATATGAACTTCTCATTTTCCATCTTTTCCTTTTCGTTTTACCTTGTGGGAGATTTCCTCGTTTTTATTTTCCAACCCTTCTATTGCTTTATTACAGCTCTCATTAAAAAAACTTTATTTTGAAAGTTTTAGGCTTACAAAGACTTGTTATTACAGTCCAGAGAACTCCTGTGTATCCTTCATCCAGCTTCCCCTAATATTAACATCTCACATAACCAAAGTACAATGATCAAAACCAAGAAATTAACATTGCAACAATGCAATAAGTGAAGATTTATTTGCATGTCATAAGTCTTTCCACTCATGTTCTTTTTCTGGATCCAATCCAGGATCCCACCTGGCATTTGGTGGTCATGTCTCCTTCATCTCCTCTAATCTGTGACAGTTCTTCAGTCTTTTCTTGTCTTCCATGACCTTGACACTTTTGAAGAACATCGGTTGAAGGTTTTGTAGAATGTCTGTCAATTTGGGTTTGCTATTTTGCCATGATTAGATTGAGGTTATGAACCATGGGAAGAGAGGCTGTGGTCTTCTCAATGCATCATTTCAAGGGTACATGATATTGATGTTATTAATTACTGGTGATGTTAAACTTGACCACTTGGTTAGGTCTGCCTGCTTTCTTCACAGTAAAATTATTGCATTTCTCTTTGTAGTTAGTAAATGTTCTGGGGGAGATACTTTGAGGCTATGTAAATATCTTGTTTCTTCATAAGCATCTGCCCACTAATTTTAGCATTCACTGGTAGCCTTAAATTTGTAATTTCTAGAATTCTTATTCTCTGTTCCTTTTGAAATGTCATCCTGTTTGTATTCGTGGATACAATATCATCTCTCTGAAGTTATAGGTTTTGTTATTTTCTTCTCTTCTGCATTATCTCTTCCTCTGACTTCTCATTTCCTATTTGTTTTGATTGCTATCATTCCTGTTAAGGCTTTCCAAACATGATTCATAGCCCTTGGTTATCCACTTAGATTTAACTGTTAAGCAAGGCACTAAAAACCTTTTGGGATGCTTTGCATCAGAAGTTTGTTGATTGAAGGATTTTAGGGTCCAGTGACCTTGTGGAAGCTGCCATATGTCAGTATCTGTTGATCTTTCTCTTGGACTGGTGGGTTTCTCCAGAGGGGAATTTTCCTATTCCCTGCCTGGGGATATAAGCTTGGCTGTTAGTATTCTACAACACAAGGGAGTGGGGATTGGAGGCATATCTCAGCAGTAAGTATGAACTTCCACTTAATCCCCACTTTCAGCTCCAAACTCATCACTGCCCTTAGCTTTGCCTTGTAATCTCACATCAGTATCCTCTCAGGTTCAACTTTTCTCAAGATTAAACCTCCAGCTTTTGTCAGAGATGGGCAGTTTCCTAGCTGCATAGGTTAGAGTTAGTGATGGAGGTGGGGCGCTTATGCATGAGTTTTTCCAAGATCTGTCGAATGACTTCATTCTTGTTAGCTCTTCCTCCTTTAGGCTTTTAAATTTGTTTACTATACTTATTCTAAGTTCACTGGCCTACCATCTTCCAAAAATTTCTTGCGATCTTTCATCAACTGAGGTGTACTCTCATTCACTTTGTCTTTTTGTCTTTGTTTATTCCTTACTCTCATCATTTATGTGGCTTCTGGAAGGGAGCAGTGATAAACAAGTTTGCCAAACCACTCTGTTCAGTCAGAAGCCCCTTACTGTTATTTTTTTTCAGGGTGATCAAAACAATCTAAATATTTTTCAAGTATAAAATTCTATGAACCAATATCCCATACAGAAGAATTCCCAACAATGTATGTAGTTACTCCACCCTCAAGGAAGTGGAGCATAACTTCCTGCTCCTTAAGTGTGGGCTGCCCATAGTGACTTTCTTCCAATATGGAATACTATGGGAAGTTCCTTCCAAAGAGTAATTTTATAGTAAGGAAACCTAGTAAACACTACCTCAGGCCAGCGATGAAAGGCAATCTCATAGATCATATTGATAGTATATACTTTGATATGATATGTAGAGCCTCCCCCAAACCCCACCAAACCTATAACCTCAGTCTAACTATAAGAAAAATATCAAGTTCCAATTGAGGGCATCTTACAAAGTCCCTGACCAATACTTCTCAAAATCGTCACGATCATTAAAAACAGAAGTCTGAAGAAGTCCAAAGAAGGCTAAGAAAACATGACTAAATGTAATGCGGAAGAGAAAAAAGACATTATGTAAAAAACTCAGGCAGTATGAATAAATTATGGACTGAATGAATAATACAGTATCAATATTGGTTCATCAATTGCAACAAATGTACCATACTCAAGTTTAAGATGTTAGTAATGGGGAAACCAGGTGCTGAGTTTACGGGAACTCTGTCATCTCCACAATTTTAATAAATGTAAAACTAAATTTCAAACCATTCTAAAAAATAGCTTATTTGAAATATTTCTATGAAACCAATAAACACTGGCAGCTGAATTTATTTACAAAGAAAACAGGCTTGGTTTGTAAATGGGGTTTTTGGTTGTTAGTGATGTGGGCAGCATTGGGATTCATCTCAAAATTCTACTTGGGAGTCCTAGATAGTTCAACAAACTTGGCCACGGTTGTTCATTCAGACTCAGCACAATAAGCCATACTGAGTCTCTTAGCCCTCCCTAAAGCCCAGCATAAAGTAGGGAACCCTGAGGGATGCAGAGGACACCTCCTTCAGAGGGCATATAGTCCATTAATGAAGACACTTACACAAAGTACACAGTGAGGCTAGTACCTGCCTTTGGTAACTGCTTCCCCTAAGATCCCGCTCCCATTCAAACGTGAGTGGGCCCCCATTCCCTTAATGGGACCAGACATGAGCACTCGGATGCTATCTGGCCAATTACACTCTCACTTCCAAGAATTAATCTCCATTGGGTGTTTGGACTGGAAACTAATGCAGCCACCTTGATTCCTACTGATCTTCTGATTCCTAATCCTGGTTTCTCATGAGATCCAGTTGTACTTCCCACCCCTGAGTTCCATCACCCATTCATAACTGGTATGTAACAAGTCAGTTCTCTTACTTACCTGTTAACTTATTTATTAACAAGTGTTAGTTTAAATAGGTTTCCTATTTATCTTTTTCTAGACAAGTCAAGAATATTTTTAAAGTCAAGAATATTTCTTCTTTGCAAAGATACATAGCCTTGGCACAGGATAAAAAATGAGTCTCTGCCCTATGGGAGCTTAGGTGTATTTGGAGAGG